AGTTAAAAATGATGCTGCATATTGTAGTTTACATGCTCTCACAATGAATTGCATTTTATACACTCATTCTCCTCTTTTTTTTGGTTGGCAACCGGTGAAAGGAGCATTAACCGCCTCGATCACTATCTTCTATCCGCCATTGTTGTTTTGAAAGTGAATACCCGACGTGTGCGCCATACATCACATTGTACGTCAGGTAAAGGTGTGTTGTCGGCTGTGGCTCTCCCATTGAGATGTGTAACAAGTGCTTCACACACCTGTCGCATAAAACGCCTTAAAAATGTAACAGTCGCTTTAAAAACACAACCCAACGCGCTAAACATGAACAAACAAAAACACCCGTGTTACATTATCATGTATATCCAGGACATCTCTTCTGAACCAAGACAAAGTGGTGCTACAAAGGAATTATTTCTTTAGGAGAGTGCATTTAATAGCAGTCTGGCCTGCCACAAAATGCACCGCTAAAAATACAGTTTCTGCTTGTCCCAGCATTTATTAAATTTAAGAGTGAAGTTGTAGGACTGATGCTGGTTAATGGTGTAGGTTTGTGGATGTGACACCTGAACTTGTGTAAAATGACGACCACAGCATATTCTTTTCAGTGAACTTTTGGTTAGTTCACTGTAGCTAGGCAGAGGTGTCTTAAAAGTACCACCTTGTGCAGAAAAAAATGAAGTTCCAGTATAAGAAAGAATAAGAAGAGAAAAAAGCTATACCCTGCTAAATGAAGTAACTTTTAAACATTACTCTAAATGTAACATATAGAAAGGAAAAGTATACGTTACCTAGTAAGTATACTACTAATGCTTCTTGGGACTATATTGGCCCCCGTTTTGGTATATAGAAGTATACTTGAAATTAGCTTTTAGATGTACTTTTTGTTCACTATAAATGTACTAGCATAATGTCCTTTCCAGTCTATAAGAGTATACTTAAAATATACTGTACTCTAACACAATACTAAACTTCCAAGTATACTGTTAATTTACTTTTTAGTTCATATTTGGCTTACTTCTGATTGAAACATAGTAATTAGAATAGAATAGAATAGAATTCAACTTTATTGTCATTGCACATGCACAGGTACAGGGCAACGAAATGCAGTTTGCATCCATCCAGAAGTGCTTTAGCCATGATATAGATATATTATAATATATATTAGCAATAATATAGATATGTAAGTATATTACAGAAATGGTGGTCTTAGTCCGGAGGCTCCTGTAGCGCCTCCCAGAGGGCAGGAGGGTGAAGAGTCCCTGTGCTGGGTGACTGGGGTCTTTGATGATTTTCCCAGCCCTTTTCAGACACCGCTTCCTGTAGATGTCTTTTATGGCAGGAAGTAGTGCTCCGGCGATGCGCTGGGCAGTTTTCACGACCCTCTGCAACGCCTTCCGGCGCGAGGCAGAGCAGTTCCCGTACCAGACTGTTATACAGTTGGTCAGGATGCTCTCGATGGTGCAGGGATAGAAGTTCACCAGGATGTCTGAGGACAGGTGGTTCTTCCTCAGAGTCCTCAAGAAGAAGAGGCGCTGGTGAGCCTTCTTGACCAGCTTGGAGCAGTTGGTCGTCCAGGTGAGATCCTCGGAGATGTGGACTCCCAGGAACTTGAAGCTGCTCACACGCTCCACAGCCGTCCCCTTAATGTGGATGGGTGGATGTGGGTCAGCATTCCTCCTGTAGTCCACGATGAGCTCCTTGGTCTTCTCGGTGTTAAGCAGCAGGTTGTTTGTGTCGCACCACTCAGCCAGACGATCCACCTCCTCCCTGTAGGCGGCCTCATCGTTGTCACTGATGAGGCCAATCACCGTGGTGTCATCTGCAAACTTAATGATGGTGTTAGAACCATCAGGCAGGTCTGCAGTCGTGGGTGAAGAGGGAGTAGAAGGGCTAACAGCCTTGTGGTACACCGGTGTTCATTGTGATTGTAGATGAGCAGTGGTTATCCAGCCGGACATGTTGGGGGCGGTTGGTCAGGAAGTCCAGTAACCATTTGCAGATGAGGGAACTGATGCCCAGGTCTGTCAGTTTCCTGATGAGTTGTGAGGGGTGGATTGTATTGAACTGCTGAACTGAAGTCTATAAACAGCATTCTGGCGTAGGTGTTGTTGTTGTCCAGGTGTGAGAGGACAGAGTGCAGTGCGATGGAGACTGCATCCTCTGTGCTCCTGTTCTGGCGGTATGCGAATTGGTGGGGGTCCAGGGTGGTGGGGAGACAGGATTGAAGTGTGCTAGGACCAGCTGCTCTAAGCACTTAGTGATGATGGGGGTGAGTGCTACTGGGCGGTAGTCATTGAGGCTAGATGGGTTGGAGTTTTTGGGTATCGGGACGATGGAGGTGAAACATATTTTTCACATGTAACAAATCACTCAATTCCCCAGACAGTCAGATGATAGTTCCAACTATCAGAAGGCTTCCTTTGCAGAGAACTACAATCATAGTTCAAGTACCAGAACTATATTGTAAACAGGTGAGAAAATGATTTTAGAGTTGAGGTTTATTAACCATTAACCCTTTTCACTCACGGTTTAAACAATTATTTTCATTCCACTTTGTTCAAAAGGTAAAAACCATACACAAGATATTTTCTTTGTGAAATTCTATGTTTATAGCAGTATCAGTTTAATTGACATTTGTTTCATTCAGTAGTTTTCAGAACAGAGATCACCTTTGATACGAGCTTTAAACACACAAGCATGCTGTGTCACGATCCTGGGTCTTAGGACCCAGTGTTTTGAGTTTTAGTTCATCTTAATGTGTATAGTATGTTAAGCTCATTAGGCCTCCTATGTTCATTTGCTTATTAGTTCCCCCTTGTGTTTCCAACCCATGTTAAGTCTCCCCTGCTCTTCATGTGTTTCATGTCTGTGTCTTACGTTGTCAAGTTCCGGTTATCATGTCTGCGTCTCATTATGTTTCCTATTTTATTTGGAAGAGATCCTGTGCTTTTATATCATGGTTTATGTTTTGAGTCCTTTGATGTACTGTTTCTTGTTTCCCTGGATCTCAGTTATGGTTATCTTAGGTTTAGCTCTTTGGCTTTGTTATATGGCTTCCCTGTGTTCCATGTTATGTCCACTGTGATGTTTTGTACCACGTTTCAGGTTCCTATGTTCTGTCTCCCCAGTTGCTGTTAAGTTTGCGTGTTTTAGAATTCAGTCAGTGTGTTTCCTGTTTTACTTTGAAGGTCCATGCCTCATGTGAGTGTTTCTAGCTTTGCTTGTCTCGTCAGTCCTGATTTCTCCCAGCTGTGCCCTCCTTCTGTGTCTCATTCCCTCGTTATCCCTCTGTGTATTTAAGCCCTGTGTTTCTCTTTGTCAGTGTCGTAGTCTCCCTCATGCTGTGTGTGATTCTCCCCGTGGTTCCTGGTATACTTTATGTTTAGCTTTCCCAGTTTAGTTTAGTACTGTTTTTGTGTTTCACCTTTTGCCAGCATTAAAGCTGTGTTTTTGAGTTTACGTTTTGTCTCCGTGAGTTTGCGTTTGGGTCCTCTCCTGCCTGCCACACAGCCGAATCATGACAGCTGGGTATTTCATTGTACTTCTTAGTATACTTCAGGTATACTTCAAATACTCTACATACTACATAGTATACTACAAGCACTACTATACTACAAGTATAGACAATTTTTTTTATACTTTTCTGTATACTTCGAACTGGACTTAAAGTATGCTTAAATGTAATGTGGTCTAAAATCTATAAAAGTACATAGAAAGTGAACTAAAAGTATACTTCCTTGTTTTCAAGTTTTTAAAGTTTACTTATAATATACTTGATATTCTTTTTTGTAAGGGTGAGACTGGTTGTTTGATACAAAGTGGACTGTAATTATGTTTCACATTGTTTGAATAAACAAATGTATTAATATATGAGGTTCAATTCAAGAAATTCCATTTTAGTGTAGCTGCAACTTACTCCTTAAGTTAAAAATGATGCTGCATATTGTAGTTTACATGTCATAATACTCTCACAATGAATTGCATTTTATGGTAATACACTCAGAATGAGGATTTAAGTAATTACTCTTAGATCTACAGTAAAAAAACACCAGAAATCCAGATGGTGTAATAGTATAATCTCAGTAACATCACCAATTAATACATTTGCTGTATTTTACAGCTGTTTCCATGAGTACAGTGAGTTACCATAAAAATAATGTAATCTCATGGAATTTTCCCACAATGACATGCAAATTACAGTACTAAACTGCTAAACTGTTTTTTACTGTTGATTTTGCAGTACTAAGCTATGGAAATTACTGCAAAGGCTAACAGTGTACTTTGTTTTAGAGCTGCTTGTTGGTTAAAAATTGATTTGTGAAGAAATTCATGATGACATTACTTGTTCAGGTGAAAAAATGCTTGGCTTCTCGAGCTCTGACTCTCTCAGTCTGGCTACCATGTGGGAACCCCCCCCCCACCCCACCCCAAAAAAAAAACCAAAAACAAAAAGCTTGTTCTTAATTTCTTCAGTCAGTGATGAGTAAAATGTGCTAGCTTTGTGGGGAATTATTTTTTTGTATAGAGAAATAAACTGGTTTCAGTGTAAATCATCTAAATTAGTGACACTCTATTTCCTTGTAGCTTGCGGGTTATTTATTTTAAGGTGCACGTTTCTGAGTTATGCCAGGGAATCGTGCATCTCTGAGGAGCTATAGTATCCAGGATCAAGCATAAATGATTACACAGATATCAGTATATGTGTGCGGTATCAGTTATCAATGTTGTGCCACAGTTTTCCATTTTGGACTCTGTGTTATGCACTACCTACACCAGTAAGACTCAACAATAAAACCACTGACAGCATAAATGAATGCATTGATCTGGTGGGAAACTTCGGCTCCTAACATTCATATGAACACTTTGTCATGCACTCCTCACTTAAACATACGGAGAATTTTTCCCCTTTTTCTCTTCTTGTGCTTGAGGTATAATTGCATGTATGCTTAGTATCGTAATGTGTATGAGTAAAGGATAAACATAAAAATGTTGCCTTTCAGGGTTGTGTTGGGAAACTGCAGGACTGGTTTGCCAAAAACTACCTAAGCACAGCGGCAGGAGTGGTCTCCATGTTTATCTTACAGGTACAGTTTCTCCCCATTACAGCTGCCAGTTAGGAATGCAGCAGGTGTTGTCCACTAGTGGAAACCTTAACATCCATCAGATCAGCGATTCGTCTAGGGTTGGGGTTGTTTTATTTATTACTTTTATTTTTAGGGTAAACTCAAACATTTTCTGGCTAATGAGATTTTAACAGAATATTGTCAACTTTTTTTCTCTGCTCTTTTTTTTTTTTTTACAGTTTCTTTGCATGTCTATCACCCTCCCTCTCTTTTGCTGCTTTGCTGTACGTGGACAGGGTTACTGAAAAAGGTCCAGAGGAACTCTACCTGCAATTCACAGATACTTTCCACATGTCAAGACGATGCTTTTCCCTATCTCAGCTTTTTATTAATCTGTTCCGAACACCAAAAAATCCGCTGCTATTTCCATCTGTCAAAAAGGGAGCTAGCTGATTATCGCCATTAAGAATGTCATATGAGGTGACAGATCATTAAATGTGATACGGAGACATGTAATTGGATAAAAAGTGATGACATGATTGTGTTAGCACTATTCCAACCCTGTAGGATGTCAAGACATTTTCTCCCTGTGAGTGCTGGGTGTTCACCACTTCCTTGTATGTTAGACTTGAGATAGACTAAAACCATAGCAAAAGGACTCAAAATCTTGTAGGTAGTGTAGTGGTTTTTAGTACTGACATTTCACCCCCTCTTCTGTAAGAATTAGCCAACACCACCTGTCTTAGAAATGTCCTGCTTCTCTTCTAATTAAAGTCCTGGCTAACGTCACATCCTGGTGTTTTTAAAGTGAATCTGAGCATCTTCCATCTTCTACTGTTATCAGCTCAGTTTGGTAGACTGTCTAAAACCAGCATGTAGGCTTGTTTAGCCTCTTAACATCCGCCAGGTCATCAGTGAGTTGACTAGTATTAGCCACATGCTAATTAGGAATATTTTTGTGAGCTAGACAATGTTACTTTTCAAATGAAGTCACATACTTTTAGGCATTACAGTTTTTCTGATAAAAGCTTACCCCTCACCCCTAACACTAACCTTTGGTTGCCAGTGACAAAGTGGATGTAAATGAGGTTAAGAACTAGCATGACGTTGTAATGAGGTCGAAACTCTCAGTTGACTGCAGCAATGTTCTTAAGGTAGTGCCATTAAGATCAAATTATCTATAACCTGGTGTGCTGTGGTAATAAAGAAATCACAGTTGTCTCAGTTTTAAGTTGTGAAGTGTTTTAATTTTTTATGATTTCTTTATTTAATCACGTTTATGTGTTTTCTGGTTTAGCTGATCCAGCTGATTTATCCTGTGAATTCCCCAGTAGTTCTTGAAAAGAGGGGCATTTAAACTTGTGTATGGTCCCTTAATGTGTTTAATAAAATAATATATATGCTCATTTTGATTTATGGTGGGTTTTTTGTGTGTCCGTTTGTCTTATCTGCCAGTGCACTTTCTAAGAGATGAGTCAGAATGCAAGCCCAACCCACAGATCTCTGGTATTTTTAGGATGTTCTTGTTTGGTAGGGCCCAACTATTGGCCCCAAATTAGCTTAAAGACCTCATGGGTACCATATCATCCCATTAGAGCACTTTGCTTTTAGACAGCTGGGTTACTTGTTGCTCCTAGAGTATTTAAGTATTTAGTATTTTGCTCACAGGGGGTCATATGATTGCTGGGGTTTTCTCTGTTTTCTTTGTTGTAAGGTCTTTAACTTACAATATAAATCGCCTTGAGGCAACTGTTGTTATAATTTGGCACTATGTAAATTAAGTTGAATTCCTAGAGCTTCTTTTCTCATTACATCCGTCATACTCCACTAACAAATAACAAAACAATCAAACAAAACAAGAAAAACACTACAATACTCCAAAAACACATTTGCGTACCTCCAGATTTTCTTTCTCTCTCTTTCGCTCTTTTTTTAATTTAATTTTTTACGTATCTTAAATGTCACCCTTAAATGTTTTTTTGTCTTTCTTATTATGTATTTTTGTGCTGGCTTTGAGCAACTGTCTGAGAGCAACTTTTTAGCCCTGAAAACACCTAAATACAGCTTACAGTTAAACTGCTAAAAGTGACATGGGAGTAGTTTCCTGCTACTTTCGGCTGCTCCCTTATCACAAGGGGTCACCAATGAGAGCAGTGCCACATGTCTGATTTGGGAGATCCCCTTCCTGATGCAATCCCAAAGGCAAGTTGTCTTGTCTTGTTGCTGGAGTCTTGAAGAGTACCATCACAAAGTTAAAAAAAAAAAAAGGCAAAACCACTCATCACCCTTTAAGGGTAAGTATATGGGACCTTTAAAATATGATGAACATTTAGAGTATTATGTAGGATTAGGAAGAAGTAGGTATCTCTGAATTGTGAACCGGCACTGCATGAAATAAAGAAATGTATTTATAGATAGCGGTAGTGCAACGGGCATCAATCTGGATCACTGTGTCTGTCTTTTGACTTACATGGCAGGTATTAATGTAATGCCTGTGGCCATGTGGAAGCTTTGATAATGAAGGTGATGTTTATTAAAAAGCATCTCTGTGGCGGCAGAACCACACAGGATGCTTGCGTTTGAGCTGAAGATTTATCAGTCTGGCATGGCGAGAAATGCATGTTAACAACATCCTCCTGTGGTGTGATATTTGTCCTGATTGATGTCTCCAACAATTTCTCCTGAGATGTTTTTATGATCGCTGTCTTCTTTCAGCTTCAGGCATCCTTTGAGTGTGTTGTTGTGGAGTGGCATATTTAACCCTTTAAGACCTATAGAACCAAGTTCGCCAGAGCTTATATTATATTTTTACATGCTGTGGAGCCATTTTTGGGAGCATTTCAAGTTGATATACATCAATACAATCATTATAGCCCAAATTTTAATAATATGTCTGCATTAAGTGAATAGTAATTACATAAATTGCAAAAAAGTGCAATAAACTACAAAAAAAATTTAAATAGTTTTTTTAACGATGTTTTTTTTAACATATATTTCTAGTTAGAGAAATTTAAGAGGTTTATCCCTCAAAGCTGTAAATACAAAAAGTTGCACAAAATAGTTTCCCACCACAGGAAATTTATTTTGAGTGTCTTCATAGTTTTATTTTTGAAATACACCAATTTTTATATACTGCAGGAAAAACAAAAATAAATATTATAATGCAAATTTGCAAAAAAAACAGCATATGCATCAAAATAAACTATTTCCAGCAGTGCAATTTGAGTCCTAAGCATCCCAGAAACGACACAGAAAGTCATAAATTCAAACATAACTTTTAAAAACACCCGTATAGGCTCATAAGGCCCTGATAGTAAAAAACTACATTTCCGCAAAATGACGTCACTTCCGGTTTCGGGCAGGACATGGAGGACATGCAATAGTTTGTGCTGATGGACGTAGGATGTATTACAAACAGCTTGATCGGATCAGTGTTTCTGGAATATTATGTTTTTGTTGCTGCAAGTGCTTTTTATGCAGTTTTTGCAAAGTTATATGTGGAAAGAAACTGTGACCTAGGACAACCTGGTGGCATAAGATGTAAATACCACTCCTCCTGGTTTCATATGCAAAAAAATTTTATTGCGCTAGCTTAGGTGGTTGCAGTGCTACCCAGATTTAAAAATAGTTATGCAAAACAGAGCGTGCCCGCTCCCACCGGCTTTTAAAGGGTTAATATCTAATAGGTTTGCTGCGCTTATCACTTGTATTTTTTAATTAGCTGGAACAAAGAAAGTTTGAGAGAAATTGTGTCAAATTAAGTGTTCTATCATGTACTGCACCACCATGTTCACTGGCCCACATAGCAAAATTGGTATGGCCCGGATCAGGCCCACACAATGTGCTTACCCATATGGAAAAGATATATATAAATCTTATAAGGTTTGTATCTGTCTTGTGTGAAACTTGTATGAAAAGCATACAAGAGTAAAAACAGATATAAGATCCCTTGAAAAATTATATAATGAAACTTGTATGTTTTGGATGCTTACTAAAACAATATACTGTATGAAAGTAATGTGAAAGTGGCCACTTTCATGAGTAAATCATGTAAGCCTTATATGATTTACTCATGAAAGTGGCCACTTTCATGAGTTAAGTCATATAAGTTTTTACTATTTCTTTTCCATATGGGTACACATGGCCCACATACCGCAAAGAATGACGACCCTTTAGTGGCCCACACATGGGCCAGCACAAGGCCAGTTGCATACACACTGGTGGTCCTGTGCTGGCCCATGTGTGGATTACCTCTGGCAAACCTGATCTGGGCCACCAAAGGGCCATCAATCTTTGCGGTATGTGGGCCATCTGTAGGTGGTGTGCAGCCACGGGCCAGTTATAGACACACTGCTGGCCCTGTGCTGGCCCAGAACAGTTTTACCTCTGGCCCCAGATGTCAGCCTAATGTATACCTTAATCAAGCCATGCAATAACAACATGTGCCAGAACATGCAAAACAGGCAACAGTAACAATGCCGTTAACTCTGTTCAGACAGTGAATGGACTGATTCTTATATGGCGCTTTTCTAATCTCCCAGATTACTCAAAGTGCTCTATACAACATGCCACCCAATCACACAATCACACAATTTCGCTTAACTGAGTGCATTCATACACATTCATACTCTTGACATGCAGACTGGAGGAGGCAGGGATCGAACCACTAACCTTCCGATCCGTTTGTAACCTGCTTTACCACCTGAGCTACAGCCTCCCACTGGCAAAGATGAGTAAACCCTCACTAGGTTTTGAATAAAGTACACTCACAAACCTGTCAAACCTGCATTTGAGACATTGGCTACCATAGCAGTATAGTATGGCATTTGGGTCTTCTAACTAAAATAGTTAAATAGGAACATAAATAGTGCCATTATTGCCAGACGTGGCCCACATCTGGTTGACATACACCCTGCCATGACACCAGTCAGTCAGAAGTGCCAGCTTGATGCCAGATCCGGGCTAGACCTGTTTTCCATGAGCCTGGGCCCCATAACCCAAACCATAATCGGGCCAGATATTGCATGCCAACGCATAAACAGTGGCGTCATTGCCAGACCTGGCACACATCTGGTTGACATACACTCTGCCAAAAAACCAGTCAGTCAGAAGTGGCAACTTGATGCCAGATCGGGGCCAGACCTGTTTTCTGTCGGTCTGGGCCACATAAACCAAACCACAATCGAGCCAAATATGGCATGCCATCACATAGTGCCATCTATGCCAGACCTGGCCCATATCTGGATGACATACGTCTTATCATGCCAGAAGTCAGCTAGCAGTGCTGACTTGATACCAGATCCGGGCCAGACCTGTGGGGGTTGGTTTTATAATGTGCTAACAAGATGGATTGATGAGAACACAACATCTGTTTGTTAAACAAGCTGAGGGAACAAATGCAGGCCAGGGACTGTGTTCAATGATTACAGAGTTAAAGCACAGGATGAGCTGCATTTGCAGAAAGATTTGGACCAAAATCAATCCATCTTAGTTGCTTTGTCTTATTAGACATTATGAGACAGCTCTATAGCAATACTTGTCCTAAATACATGTTGCAAATATAGACTGTATATAAAAGATGCACAAACACACTGTTAGTTCACCCACTGATTTCTAGACCGATCATTTTGAAACTTTAGCATTAGCATATTGGCGGCCCATGTTGAATGAGGAGTAACTTTGGAGTAGAGAGTGGTCAGATAACACTAGCATGGTTATCTATTTAGGTTCTCAGTCATCCAGGCCGTGGTAGCCTTGCATGCTCGGTTAGCAATCTGTATCCATAAAATGTACAGGAACAGGTAACATAACTATGTCCCTTTGATACAATTATGAAAACTGCAAAATGTCCAATAATGCCCAACCTGTTTTTGTACCAACTGGGTTATTTTAACATGAGAGGTTATAGGGATGGTCTTAGTTTTAGAAACAACCTCAAGTGTCCATGATAAGATCAAAATGAACCAAGCAAGACAAATTAGCATAATTAGCCACAATCAGGAAAAAAGTGCAGATAGGGAAACATAGACGTGATGGGAGTTTATGTGATTTATAACGCATGCTTCTTTGGTGTTCTTTTTGGAGAGAAGATGAACAAACTTAAATTATACGTTTTCAGTAAGTTTTCAAAATGTATGAAATGGTTGAAGGTTCAAGTTAACATGGCGCCATAGACCTTTGTGTGTTCAGTGGACCAGACAGACAAATGGTGCCACTCCCAGGTGAATAAAGTTTTTACATTATGGTACAAACAAGACATGACTGTGATTGGTTAAAAAGTTGGGGAAGAGCCTTGGCTCTCCCTCATTTGGCACTTGGTTTGACTCCTGGCTCATCTTACATTCAAGTCCAGTTGGGCATTTCCCTGTGAAGAGAAAAAGGGGAAAAAACTCCTCCCTACTTAGTCAAAGGAGCTTGCAAAGAAAAGCGTCTGGACTTCTTTAAGTTGCTTGAAGACGTTTCACCTCTCACCCGAGAAGCTTCTTCAGTTCTAAGGTCAAATGGTGGGGAGTCCTAGATTTAAACCCAGTGGGAGTATCCCCCCACAGAGGGACAAAAGGACCCCCTGATGATCAGCCAGGGTTTCGGGTGAGCTCATTGTGAAACCTGGCCCCACCTTATCATGTGAATTCCATAGGTCAGATGGCCCAGGATGTGAGTGGGCGTTTCACAATGAGCTCACCCGAAACCCTGGCTGACTGGGACCCACACCCATTTTCACACCTTGGCTCAGGCGATTAGAGGATCATCAGGGGGTTCTAAGCCATTTATCAACAACAGCACAAATAAAAGGAAACTGCATGAATCCAGTCTTGATGACTGTTATGTGACCCCATTAAAAAAGCCCTTTGATCCAAAGGCTTTGTCCCCTGACCTCGGGTGTTTTCTGGACTACTGCAGCACTCCTCTG